CAGCTCCCCCAGTGCTGGAAATGTCGGTCCAGCTGGTTACGATGGTTTGCCCGGCTGGTGGGGGAGGACACAGTGTTTCCCGAGCCCTTGTGTTTTTCCAGGCCATTTTCTGATCTCTTTCCAAAGACCTTTTCCCTAGTTCAGTTGACAACAGCTGCTGGAAAGCTCCTCCCCGAGGGAGGAGAGAAGACAGCATTGATTTTTTTTTTTTTTTTTAAAGAATAACTTGACAACATTAGAGCAAAACAGGATTGGTGCTGTTGTCAACCGAGGAAGGGTCTGGAGGTGAGAGCTGTTGGCGTGACACGCTAAAGGGCTTTGCAGGATCATGTTTACCTGTCGCCTGCCTTGGTGGAGATTCAGTGCTACCTGCAAGCTGTGGCAGTCGGGTCGCTTTCTGCCCCGCGTCTGGGAGAGGTGCCAACCGCCGAGTGGCAAAGGAATCAACACGACCGTGGGGCAGGGGCAGCAGGTCGGCGCGCAGGAGAAACAAGTATTAGAAGATCTGGAAATGCCCCTTGCAAGGAGAGAAACTGAGACCCTCTTCCAAGAGCAGCCCGAGACTGGGAACCAGTATCTGGAAGATGCTTTGCTTCGGAGTTACTTGAAAACGCACCTTCCTCCCAAGGTCTGGCGTGCATCTTTGTCTTTCTGTGTGTACACACTACAATTCTGGCTAGGTCACTCTTTAAGACTGTGAATTGAACATTTCTCTGAGCCCTTTTGTGCCTTCAGGCATTTAACTGGGGGGAATTTATCTGTGTTCTTAAAACTTGTTTTCTTTGAATCAGTGCAGAGTTGAAAAATACTGCCAGGACATAAACAGGAATAGAAAGAGCTTGATAGACTCCTGGGTGTTGCAACACCAGTGTTGTTTTGGGATTGTCAGTGCGGGCATTTGTTGACTGGTCATCCAGAGTAAGAACACTCACAGAAAGGGAAAAAAATAAGATGCTTCCAAACTCTGCAGTGTTCTTCCACTTCTCTCCCCCCAGGAAAGAGGCGCTTTTAAGGAAATTCCTTTCCGAAGGAGCAGGGCTGCTCTCAGCTGAGCAGTCACAAGGATGCAAAGGCCCTTTGGGGTTTGCTTGTTCTCAGTACAGGCCGATTTTCAGACGGGGAAGGCTCTGTACGGATGCAGGGGTGCAGAGAGGTGGGGTAAGACCCTGAGCTTCGGGTCTCTGTTCTGTGAGGTCCAGTCCTCCAGCAGGCCCTGGAGGAGGCAGCTCACCTCATTGTCCTCTGCTGTCACCCCAAGGACCACAACTGTTTCCCACTTTTCAAGGACCAGGTCTCGTGGAGCAGAGTGTGACCTCTCTCCCTGAGTTATTCCAGCAGAAGCAATGCAGTGACCTGTAAAGCCACTGGGTGAGCAGAGGGGCAGAACCTGGCTTTTGGTGACGCTCCTCCTGCCACTGCTTGCTCTCCAGGTCTGTGAGGCCTTGCAGACATGGGGTAGTAAGAGCATGGTGGCACCGTTTGGAGCTTGCTTTTGTCACCGCCATCCCAAAAGATGGGAATGAGGCCTCCCTAAACACTGCTGCGGCCTTTTTGCCAGAAGAGAAGATAGGGGAGAAGGAGGATGCCTTTGGGCATCCGCAAAGATCTTGCTCCTAATCTGCACCTTTGGAAGAAGCCCGATTGAGATCTCCGGAAGAATAAAAGGATCAGTGGTGTCTTTCACCAAGGCTGAGAGCTGCTCCCCACTCCTTCCCCAAAGAGACAAAGCAGCTGCAAAATCTACCAGAGAATCAGCAGCATGTCCCTTACGTTTCTGTGCTTGGTCCCAACGGGGCAGTGTTGCCTCACCGCTGAAAGGGAGAGCCCAGTGCTGTGGCTGCTTCATGCAGCACCCGCTTCTCTGCAGCCCGAGAGCTGGCTCTCCATCCGAACACCTTCCTCTCCAGGAGTGCAGCAGCAGATGAAGCTGTGCGTGTCCCACTGAAGCAGACACCATGCTGGAGGCTGATTCCTGTTGTACTCTTCACCTGTGTTCAGTGGTGAACACAAACATTTTCCTGGAATGGGGCAAAAGACTTCTTTCTTTGAGAGTGATTTCTGGAGAACGCAGAAGAAAGCACCTGCTTTTTCTGGGCACTGTTGTGGAGAGGTATCTGTTGGTCTTTGATCCCCCTGAAAATATGTCCTTTAATATAAAGGACCATCTGTTTGCACTCTTAATGTGCAATAACTTTTCCAATAGATTCATCCCTGGGGAATCAAAGGACTGATTAGGGTGAATGAGACCACCCGGCAGATACTGCTGGGTTGCAGCTTCAGCCCTGACCCTGATGGTTTACAGCTGTCCCCTCCATAGACTGGTGTATGTTTTTTGGAGCGCACAGGCTGCTGTCTGTTATATTCAGCAGTCAGAAACGTAGGAGCTCTGATTTTGTTCTTTTACCTTGAAAATAAACACATTCACTTGGGCACACACGGTGGTTTGTAAGGCTGCCTGTGGTCAGGGCATGAGCTCACAGCTTACAGCTAGGGTTTGGGGTTGGTTTTTTTTTAGAAAATGCGGGTGAGGTGAAGGGACTGTTGTAGTTTGGGTTCGCTGTAGTATGCTGACCAAGAGACCCGTTTGCTAAACTAATGTTCTGCCCACAAAAACCTACCAGCTAAACAGTTCAAAGGTTCTTGTGCTTCAGGGATCAGCGAAGTTCATGAACCTTGGATTCTTAGGTGATGCCTCTGAAACAACCTTCGAATGGTTGTCATGGTACGATAAGCATTGGAGGTATACACCAATCCCAGCTGAGCTCCACTGCGAGCAAACAGGAGCGAGCTGTACCACTTGACAGGGCTCTCGTGCATGTTTTTGGCTTGTTTTGTGTTTTTTTAACACTATTTCACCGTTCACCTGAAGGAAAAATGGCTGGTCTGAGGATGGAGACTTCCAGAGTAGTAACGACAGTGTGTGTTGGATCCTCATTACACACGCTCAACGGCAGAGCGATGAAAGAATCAATCATACGGGAGATAGTTTAATGAAAAGTCAATACAGGGCAAAGCAGGGAAAGGAAGAAGCAGTGTTTGTATTTCATCTACAGCAAATTAATGTGGTTTATAATTGCACCATTTTGGGTACAGCGACTACAGCACTCACCTCCATGATTGTTATATCGAGGAGGAAATGAGCATCTCTCGAGGGGGCAGAGAAGAGCAAAAAATGTTCCTCTGATGAGAGATCAGATACTCTTGTGACCCCCATTACTGTCTTGGATGTATTTATGCTAACAAGGGTCCAACAGTGCCAGAGGTTGGCTCCACCTGGCCTAACTTTAATCATCTATAAGAGAGGTTATTTACTTCTAGGCAACTTCCCTTGGCTTTGGCCACAGACAGCGAAGAGCAGTTGCAGAAGACAATTCCTGTCACCTTAAAAGAGGTATCTAAGAGGGCTGGAATGAATCACTCCTCTGCGGGTGCTGCTCTCCCTCCATTAAGTATGGACAGACTACTCCGTCCAAGTCAGCCAAGCCTGGCCAAAACGAGGGCACGTGAGTCCTTATGCAGGGCTCTTCAGGGAGCTGGATGCAGGGTGGAAATGTGAATCTAGACACCTTGGGTGCCAGGCTGAAGCTCAAATGATTTCTCCATCCCTCCTTTTCTAATCTGATAGGTGGGTAACTACTGAGCCCAGTGGAAGTTTTCCTGTACAGATGAAAGCTTTCTGGTTTTGGCAGCTCTTCCCCTGGCATTCTCCTCCAGCAGTAAATCACAGAGTGGCTGAGGTTGGAAGGACCTCTGGAGATTGTCTCGTCCAACCCCCCCTGCTCATGTGCATCTGTGTCATTCTCAGCCTTGATATAAAAGCTCTTCTGTCTTCTGTAAAATCCAGAGATGCTGCCAGAAGTAACTTGAAAAAAATTATTGGGGGGGGGTGGAAGTGACAGCTGAGCACAGCTGTGCCAGCAGAGGCCAGGAGACAAGCTGTCCTGCTGCATTACAGAATGCATGGAAGGGCCAAGTGGCAAGAGACCACGAGCACCGCAGGACAATATGGTCAGTCCTCTGCCTTTCCAGCTAGGACTGAGGCTCTTTGCCTTCCAGAGGCGTGTTGAAGTGCTCTTCTTGTTGCTTCACAGGTACTGGAGGAGGTGAATCAGGACCTGGAGAGATTTGGAAACCGTCTGCAAACCAAGATCAGACCTCTAGGATGGGAATGCGAGTTGAACCCCCCTGTGTTTCGGCAGTATGATGCCTGGGGGCAGCGGGTGGATCAGATTGTCACCTGCTCAGCCTGGAGGAAGATGAAGGAGATTTCGGCAGAAGAGGGGCTCATTGCTGAGGCCTATGAGAGAAGATACTCCAACTGGAGGTAACTGGGGGAGAATGGGAATGACTGGGTGCCTTCCTGGTTATTCTTAGCAAGGTATGTTCAGCATCGCGTAGGACTGAATTTCTTGTTGTCTAATGGGTAACAGATGATACATGGACAAAAGCACACCTACTGCTGTACTGAACAGCAGTGTCTGTCCACTGTAATGTTCCACATCGGCAATGATAAGCCGTAACTAATGGCCTACAGTTGATCATAATATTCTTTGATGTCACCTTCCTGATGCTGGGGCCTGGCAGTTCCCTGCGCTGCTCCAGCTTTACAAGCATTAGTTGTAACACAGCTAAAGATCTGGGATTTTACTTGCAGTTTCATTGTATTCCAGCCTCTGGAGATAGACCCACGTTTCTTATTTTTAAAAAACTGCACTTAATGTGCACCAGCTGGCAAGCGATGCCTTCCATCCAGCCTTGCTCTGGCGGTCCCTCTGGGACTGAGAAACTCTGCTGCTCCTCTTCTCTCTTCCTGGCTGAAACAGTTTTTGCCCTCTCAGAAATGAGCGGTCTGATTCTCACCTGTTTCGGCTGTATTTTGTTCCTCTCTTCCTAGTCAAGATGTTTTATCCTCCTGCTGTTGAACTGCTGCATAACCTGTCTGTTTTTACTCTCTTTCTTTCCTAGCCGTCTGTATCAGGCTGTCAAACTCTACTTATTTTCAAGCTGCTCTGGAGGTTTCAACTGTCCACTGGCCATGACTGATGGGGCAGCCAAAGTCATTGAGGTATGAGCTCAGCTGGCTTCTGAGGGCACAGCCCACATCCTGGCAGCGCTGGGTAGAGACTGGAGCACAAGGATGGAGGAGAGCTGATCTGCCATCTGGCTCTGGGCATGGCCCATCCGTGTTCTGTGACTCAGCTCCATCTCCCACTGCCTTTCTCCTTTAGTTGCAAAGTCTTTGTGCCCAGGCTAGCTTTTATGTTTACTCACAACACTGGGTACAGTAAGGCCTTTGCTGCACATGAAACCTGTGGCACTGCAGGTGGTTGGGAAGGTGTCCCGTATGTTTTTACTACGAGATATAGTTTGTTTTCCTGTGGAGCAGCAGATAAATACGTTGGCCCAGATCCATACCTGATGTAAATTAACCAAGCTAGCAAGACTTTCCCAATCGGAAGATTTGGCTCTGCGTCTTAGTGACACCCTTTGCACTATGTCAGTGGCTATGTAGGACGCAGAGAAAAGCTAGCCCTTAAGGAGCTAGCCCCGGGCATTCTAATTCAATAAAAATTAAAAAAGCTGAAGGCGGTTACCTCTTTCCTGCAGCTCTTTGGGTGCTGGTGACATCCAGCGTACATGAACGTATGCTGATACCCTGGCACATGAAGCTGTTTTGAAAGCTCTCTGTCCAGATGTCCAGTGGTGCAGAACTCCGAGGGGGGTGGGGATGCTCAGCACTCTCCTTTGCAACACAAGTCTGCGCCTTCTGTCTGCACCGTGCTCCAGCAGCCCGGGGGGGAGCTGGGCAGTTTCACAGACTCTCAGCAGTACATGCAGACGCACTGCGGCGCAGGACACTCGATGCCCCGCTTGCCTGCGTGCAGACCGTCCGTCCTGAGCATAGGACGCACCAGTGGTAGTTAAGGCAACTGTCTAATTTCATCTACTGTGCTATGATCATCTTTGTTTCTTTTCCTTCTCCCAAAACAGTCACTAGGTATTCCTGGATCTCTGAAAAACGCTTTTGACCATCTGACATCCCGTGACCCCAAGAAGTTCTGGACCTCTGGCCAGTGGATGACCGAGCGCAGAGGAGGCTCTGATGTTGGTACGTGTTCTGAGGTGGGAAGCAGCTGCAGCAGCAGCTAGATGTGTTAGTGAGAACTGAGAAGATGAAGGATGTGGGGAACTTATAAAGCCAGGTTTAGGAAACCTCTGCATAGCTCTGCTTTTTAACCAACAAAAGCCCAACTGCTGTCCACTGATGCGCGCAGTACGCACGGGCAGGTACAGAGCTGTGTTCCTTGCACAGATAGCATGCTGATGTCTAGCTCTATAATCTAAACCTTGAGCAAGACAGTCAGACCCATCCCAGCTGGGACTGAGAAAGCATTCTTGCCCTTCAACTTTTATTCCTTGGCTAATGTTAGTAATAGTGTGATGGGCCAGGAAACCTCCAAACTCCGCTGCGGGGACAACTCCATCCGATGAAGCTGCAGTTGGTTTCCTGGTGGAAGAAGTGAAAGGGGCAGCTGTAGACTGAAAGCTGCAGGGTTGTGCATCATTGCAGGACTCCTGATTCTGTACCCCTACAAGACCGTGGTAGCTTCTAAAGAAATGGAGGCATTGGATTATACACTGTGGTGCATTCAGCTCACAAAGCACTGCCATTACCAGCTGGTAGTCTGGAGCAACTGCTGGAAAGGCTCGCAGTTAAACAGAGCATATTTCCTTTCTAGTACTTAACGCTGGCTGCATTTCTTATCCAGGGTCAATGAAAAAGATTAGCAGCTAATCCATACTCCCTCTTGATAGCAAGAGGTGACTTAAAAGAGCTGCTGCTTAAACCGAAAATCAGCATTGATTGATACATAAGGTCCTATAAAGCTAATATGATCTCCTTTCGTGCAGCTAACGGCACCGAGACAGTGGCCAGAAAGCAGCCAGATGGTACATATCGTCTCTATGGTTTTAAATGGTTTACATCAGCTGCTGATTCTGATATGACATTAACCCTGGCCAGGATAGCGGATGCTGAAGGACGTGTAAAACAGGTCTGTTTGATGGCGGAACCTGGTGAAGGAGCAGGGACATTCTTTTACTTCCTTGTTTCATTGTAATCAAATCCTCTTTGCATATCTTTTCAATGGCCCCAGGGTTCCAGCGGCCTGTCCCTGTTTTTCGTGAAGGTTCGAGATGAGGAGGGGAAGCTGAACAGCATCCAAGTGCAAAGGCTGAAAGACAAGTTGGGCACGCGGCAGATGGCAACAGCAGAGCTATGGCTCGATGGAGCTAAAGCAGAGCTAGTATGTAAGGTTTCACCTTCCTCTTGGGGCTGGGCTGGTGTGGCACGGCAGACCACTCTTGAGCGGTTTGGCAGTGGTACCAACTGAAGAAGTTCCTCTCTTCCACCTCTGTGGCTGTTCACAGAATGCTTCCCCAACAGGGCTGTGTGTGGGACAGAGCTGAGAAGAGCTCAGGAAAAGACAGGAGGAAAGATTAAAAAAAAAAAAAAAGAAAGTCATTTTAGGCTGATCGTTTCCCTAATTCAGTTGCATTGGCCCAGCTGAGGGACAGTTCTGTGTGGCACACAGGTAGGAACGAGCAGCAGGGACCAGCACTGATCCTGCTGACATGGTCTCCAAAGCCACCTCTCTGGTCATGCCGCAGACTTGGCTAAAATGAGACAGCCATATTTTAAAGCAAGCAGATCTGTGTGGTGCCTGAGGACAGGCGGAGACAGAGTGGACAGCCTCTATCTATTTGTCTGTCGACACCAATTTCACTTGGCTATACGTCAGCTTCCAAGGCTGTGCGAGAGGCTTACATCAGCCTTTGTTCCTTGATGCTTTCAGATCTCTGCAGAGGGTCGTGGAGTGGCCTCCATCTCCAACATGCTGAACATAACTCGGATCCACAATGTCATTGGTGCAGTGGCTTCCATGAGAAGGTGAAGGCAGCATGGATCCCCCCCCAGAGCTGAAGGAGCAGCTTATCAGGACAAGGGGACTTTGCAATGCTCAGCATTGCAGCCGATTGACATCTAATGCCTTTGCAGGCACAGGTCTGGAAGCCAGCAGCGCTGGAGGAGGTTGGCCTGTGGGCGGGTGACCTAGGCCAGTGTGCTACGGCTGCGCAGGGTTCTTCCAGTGGGGGTGGCTGGAAGGGAAATCTCAGCAGTGGAAGGCTGCTGGTCTGACTGGGTGTACTCTCTCTAGGATGATCAGTCTGAGCAGGGAGTACGCACGTAGGCGGGTTGCCTTTGGGAAGCTCCTCAAGGACCATCCCCTACACATGCAGACGATAGCCCGGATGGAGGTAAGGCTTTTGGGAGCCAAGCCGAATCTGTTGGCAAGGAAAGAGGGCAGAGGTCCTCAGCTGCTAATGAGCGGAGCCAGCCTGCCCCTCTGTGCAACAGTCAGGTGTAGAAGGCTGTTCCTGCTACGGTGAGATGTATGCAGCAGGGGAATTGCCATATTCTAGTGGGATTTGATCTGACGATAGACCTAGCTTCTCTGCTGGACTTCAGGTTATCCTAAACAACAATTACCTGGGAGCTATTGTGAGAGGAGTGCCAAAGTTCATGCACACACCTACTATGATATGCCATGACCTCAGAAGTTGTTCGTTAGCATCAGATTCAAAGCATGACACCACAGTCTCCTGTGCAGTTCATGCAGTTAACAGACTCTTGTCCAAGACTGACACAGACTTATCCAACTTCCCTGGTAGCTCATGCACCAGGAGATGCGCTGTTCCCACTGTTCCCAGCAGGCTTGAACAATTCCTGAGGAGTCACCATGCACTTTAGCTTCTGAGACAAGCGTGTCAACACTTTGTACCTATGCGGTGCTCATCACCACAAGACACTGAGCTCAAGTACAGCCTCTAGATGTGAATATCGTCTAATGCAATAACAGACAATGGAAGAAAGAGCAGCATGAATTGGCTCTGGGCTTTGGGAGGAATTCCATGTGTGGGCCTTCGCTCACTGCAGAATGTCTCACAGCTTTGCCACAATCCTGAGCCGTAGCAGCTCCCTAAATTCACAGGACACCCCTACTGAAACTCCAAAAAGAAGGCACGCAGTTCTCCTCTCACCCATCCAGGCACGACTTCTTTTCTTAAGCGGAGTAGCACCAACGCTTGCCCTTGGGCTGCAATAGGTTCATGCTAATTTTTAAAACGGTATTTAAAAATCCTCTTGCAAGGTGGGAGAGAGGGAAGGTGGTCAACATCTGTGAAATGTAACTTAAAGCTCCAGCATCTCTTAGCCTCTGGCCAGAACTCCACCTCTGAAAGTAAGGCCAGGCCCTATATAGTCCCACAGCACATCATTATGAACAGGGGCTACAGAGCGCCATAGCCTGATGCTTCCCAAATCACAACTTGCCAGGCAAGTGAGTTGCTCAGTAAGAGACCTTGCAGATCTTGGCGCTCAGAGGTTGACCATCAGATGTGCAGTCTCATGTCCCTTATCCTTGGAAATGATGTGGATTTGTGACCTGGATGCCTGATAGGAGCTTTGATAAGGCTCCGAGAAGGCCTGATGAAATGGCCTTCCCCCTTTCCTCATACTAAATTGTGCTGTCCAAGAGAGGCAGCTGTGGACTACCTTTAATATTTCCTGCTTTGTGCCTTGGTTGGTCAGTGGTCTTTGTCTCTGAAGCTGTGGGTCTGTATGGGCAGGGGCGGCATTTTGCCCAGGTGCGAGTATTGCGCGTGCCTTCGAGATAGATAGCCTCATGGCACCTCAGCAGACCAGGCTGGAATCGACCTGAATCAAAGATCCTCGCCAGTGAAGCTCCCCACTTCTCTGCTTGCAGGTGCAGACGCGAGGGGCGTTTCTTCTGCTTATGGAGACCGTTCGGCTGCTTGGACTTGCAGAAACCAACATGGCGAGTGAGCAAGACCAGCTTCTCTTGAGGCTGCTGATACCAGTCGCCAAACTGTACACTGGGAAGCAGGTACAGAACAACCAGTTTGATTAGCTGGGAGCGGGGCTGTGTGGCACGTTAGCAACCACAGAGCTGGAAAGAGGAGTGATTAACACAGCCAGCGTCAAGGGCAGCGACAGCAGGGGATAGTGGCAGTGAGCTCGAGCTGCGGGGCCTGCAGCAATTACTGCTCTGCACTGAGGCTGGAGTTTGTGGGTAGGAGACTTGTCCCTTTGCTCTCAAGGCCACAGGTTAGCCGTGCGATCAGAACAGACAGAACCGGCGCTGTCTGTGAAATATTCCGCATGCCACAGAGGAATGCTGCTGAGGGTGCTCCAAGACCAAGGTGGGGCACTGAGCTACGGGGAATATCTTTCCCCTAGTTATGAATAAGTAGAAGAGCGGGTGTTAATAGCTTAGCATTAGCCTTAACTTCAGAAGTCTGTCCCTCCTCTGATCACCCTCAGCTTAAACACAGAGAAGCTCACACGCCATAGGCAAGGAGAAGGTAAAGATTCTCCTGGACTAGAGACACGTATTCCCATGTACCAAGAAAACCATGGGTTTATCCTTACCTAGAGAAGACTGTATTGAGAGAGACTCTCCCTGGATCTCCTCCCAAGGTCTGACTGCTCCTGCAGGTGCTCTCTCAGTGTTACTCAGTCTTCATTCCCCAGACTGCTCCTCCTGCATATAATGAGCAACCTGCCTCAGCAAATCAGTGGGAACCAGTCAGTCCCATCCCAGCAGGAACTGCTGTGTGATGTTAGAGGGTTCGGGCCGCTCTTTCCCCTTGTGCAATGGGGATCGTGTCGGCTCTGCATTTTGCAGGCTTCTGCTGTTGCTGTTGAGGCAATGGAGAGTTTTGGAGGACAAGGCTACATGGAGGACACAGGCTTGCCAGTCATACTCCGCGATACTCTGGTAAGAAAGCAGCAGGAGGAGAAGCAGCAGCTCCTGTGTGTCACCTAGTCCCCTGCACAGTACTCCGTGGCGAACTCAAAGAAAAACACAGTCCTCCCCAGACTCGCTCCAGGCATGGCAGCTCTTCCCTAGCTGCCTTCCTGCTTAGTCCCGTCATCACCAGGGATGTGATGTGATGTGTTCCTGGTGATGGGGTTGTCTCCTCGCTCAGTAGGGGAGCTGGGCTCCTGGCTCTCATCTCCACTGCTCCTTTCTACTTGTGGTGAGGCAAGACATCTCTGGACATTTCCTTGATATCCCTTAGCTCTGCCCCACGTCTTTGTATCCTCACGTTCCCCTTTCTTTATTGCAGTCGCTCCAAAAGGCTCCTTCATGCTCTTCCAGTCTCTTCTACCCCACAGGTGCTGTCCATATGGGAGGGAACAACAAATATCCTCTCACTTGATGTCCTGCGATCCCTCACCAAGAGTCAAGGACAGGTGATGGCTGTGTTCTTCTCTACAGTGCAGGTGAGCCCACATCAAAAGCACCGGTCAGCCTGCTTTGCCCACCTTGGCAGAATCTTATTCCGTGTTTATGCTCCAAGCTGAGACTGGTAGGGAATACGGCCAAATTGAAAGCTTTCAAAGTATTCAGAAGGTGTCTCACAATTCTTCTCTTTAAATAGCACTTACAAAAGTAGAACGCAGGCAGTGCTCGTTTTGGGATCCTTGTGTGCTGCACAAAAAATGCAGATACTTTTATCTTAGCGGTGAAGAGTTTTGCATTGTCAGTGTTCCTCATGACAGGTACCAATATAGGTATATTTTTAATGTGAGAGTCACCTTCTGGAGTCCAAAATAACTTTGTGGTTTTGTTTCTTACCTGGAAAAACACCACAAGACTGCTGAATATTAAACGTTCACTGGGGCTACCTACTGCATTATGACTTTCTATTTTTATTCCCTCTGAAAAGATAGAAAGAGCTGAAGGAATTCCATTGCTGCCTCTTCAGATTTGCCATTCTCTGGCTTTACGTGCAGGCTGCTCTTTTAAAGGTGCTCAGATGACAGGCAGTCACAGAGAGTTCAAAGCAGCTCAGAATTTCATGAAGGTAAATGAGCATCAGCTGACTTGATACATCCCGTAAAGGGAGACAGGAACCAGCCCGAAAGGCACGATCAGCATATCAGAGGGTATTCTCTCAGATATTAGACTGTTAATCCAGATGGAACAATCCAGATTACATTACCCCAGATACAGCGAGGGAATCCTGGGCATCTGGAGAGCTGGAGATGACTACGCGTAGCCTTCCCTTTCTCATCCAGAGCCCCTGAGAAGGGAAAGGTCTGGGCCACGGCACTCCCTGCACCATTGACCACAAACCACACCAGTAAGAGCCTGATTCCTTCTCACCAGTGGCTGCAGTTGACAACTTCTGCTATATTTCAAACCCCCAACTCAGCTGTGTTCTGTACAGAGTAACCTCTCTGACCTCCAGAGATGTCTTACCATCCTCTCAGACAACTTTTGATGAAGGAAAAATACCTCAAACAATTTGACTACCAAACAAGAAACCAAATCTGCTCATAAGCGGGACGGAGCGCACCTGCTAATTAAAAAGCCAGTTGGTCCAGCTGTTGATAAGAAGCAGCATCATCTGATACTGAAGGTAATGGAGTGGAGAAGGAAAGGAGCGGGTGGTAGGCTCTAAACATAACTTGGAAATAAGCCAGCCTCCGCAGTCTTACACTTAACGCTAATTTAAATGAATGCCCCCCAAAGGTGCCACGCTGCAGTCCTCGGAGCACCTCAGTGGCGTAGCTGAGAGGGCCCCTCCAGCTTCTTAACAACTGAATCATCAGAGAAACATTAAAGAACAGAGCAACGTGATTCAGAGCAGGCACTTGCACAGCAGTAACACCACGTATTGAGATTTATTCATTAACAAGCTCATCATTGCTCTTGCACTCCCACAAATCACGCTGTATATGAGACAGGAGGGTGAAGAGCAAGTACTGCCTTCAAAGGTCTCTACATTCCGGTAAGCGCCACGGCATTTGCTGTTCTTGTCACGCGGAGACTCCCTCCCTGTCCGGGGAGCGCGGCAATGGAGCGGCTGGAGAGCTGGGAGAGCAGTGTTGCTGCACTGATTCTGGATGCAATAGCTCATACTTAGCAAATTTCACCTGGACGTGTCAGAAAACTTTTCCCTTACGCCGTCGGCAGCCAGGCAGTGGCAAGGCAGGCCGGGAGGTTATTTCTGCAGAGTGCCTCTGCAGCATCAGGCAGGAACGTGCTGAGTTTCTACACCAGAATTGGGGTTTCACTCACAGCTGATAAACAACCTCTTTTTGACCTCCAGGTGTCCAAATTCTTTTGGTCTCTGGGAGTCTGGCTCATTTTGAAACATCCTTCCCATTCCTGTCTAGTGAGGAAATCATTTAGCCCTCCATAAAGGGATTTTTACTGCTCCAATCCATTTCCTTTTTATTGATGCACACAAAACTAGTACAATTGATTTTATGTTCGTCCATCACAGTTCTCCGTTTGCGGGATTTGTGCCCAACGACAGGCTGCTGTGGAGAAAGCAGCATTCCTACTTCGTTCGTACAGCGCAGCACTTTGTTCTCTGAAGGTCATATCTCAGGGTAACTTCCCCCCTGGCCCTCCTGCCACCCATTTTTGCTTTTATCCTGTATCAGTCGCCTCTACTGACGGTGGGATACCTACCCCTGATGGTGCTGCGCTCTAGGAGCAGGAACCCAATGTTGTAATTTGCCTCAGGAAAAGGGAAATACGCAGAACTGCCTCATCCTTGCACAACGCGGTTATGAGAAGCTGAATTTACACAGGCAAGTGTGTTACAAACCACCCCGTTGAGAGGTAATTAGTCTGCAGAGTCTCAGGAGAACACGTGGCGAGAAGAGCAAGCATGAGAGACAGTCCTGGATTCCAGCGCAGGTGGATTCTGCACCGGAGCAGTCATTCCATGTTATACTAAAAATTTATTAGCTGGATTTTTGAGCCAGAGCGTTGGGTGTACTTTAGAATTCAATTACAATCTGAAAAGTGACTCTAAAATAGCACCGGGGAATTATTTGATTATTGCATTTTAGTCACTTTAGATGAAATTTGGCGTGTTTCTGAACGTCAGTCCTGCAAGTGTTTTGCAGAGCTCAGAATCAACTCGTGCAGCAAGAATGACTGCGTAGGGCTGAAACTCTAGCTGTAGATCGGACGTACAATCTAAGACACGTGATGGTGTTTTCAGGTCCTTTTCAGACCATAACCACAATTTTAACGTAGCAGGAAATAAATCTAGGTTATTAAAGTGAGACTACATGTTTGCTTGAAGCATTAATAGGAGACTTGTGCTTCTAGCCCTGCTCTGGATGTTCTTCATGTTGCTGTATTTTTAAATGCTCGTGGTTAATCTTTTAAGTACAAACCATTCGGACAATCTTGCTTGGTAGCTCATGAGAGCAAACAAATGAGTGGCATCCTAAAATTCCTCAGTAAAAACGAAAGGAATCAGAAAATCCTGGAGCTCTAAAGCTCTTCTGCTCTCTAATGCTTTCAGCCAGACGAGCAGCGTGCAGCTGGCAGAGCAGTGCCGCCTGCGTGTGCCTCCCCTCGGTTACACCCGGCGGGGACTGGAGCAGATCAACACACAGGAGAGAAAACAGGAGCTGCTTCTGCCTCGAGCACCCTCCCCGAAGCAGCTCTCCAGCTTCTCGCTCTCGAATGCAGGGGAGGACATGGAAAAAAACAGCTTGATCTTTAAGAAGATGCAGTGCTTTTGGTTGGGAAAAGAATGAGTGTAATCTGAGGGGGGGAAAAAAAAGAAGTGCAAATTATCGGAGAGCAAAGAGAATACAATGTCTGTTTTTTCCCCCAAGGTTAAAATGATGCTTTTATATTCCTGGTCCATCCTGCCCAGGTTTTTAAGCCTTAAAAAGGAAGGCAGCGTAGGACGTAGCTGTTCGTACCCCGGCCATGAGCAGCAGGGTGCGGACAGAAGCGCGTGTCGTCTCTGTGCTTGGCCTGCGTGATGCTGGCTTCCACCCAAGCTGCTGGGAATATGTTTGTGCCTTTGGGGTCTTTGATCTTTGTTAGCAACGAGCTCCGAGCAACTCTTAAAACATCTTATTAGCATTCCGTGGGCTTGGAGGGTTCTTTGGACTTTATCTTGGCACTAGACCTGACCGCTTTAATGATGATGCTTTTGTATTTGTACAGCATATGCTGGGAGTATTTATGTGCCGCTTTGCCTAGAGCACAGAATAGCGGCCATTGAGGCTTGTGTTTTTCTTGTATTAATAGTCAGAAAGCACAGGGCAGTGGTTCGGCAGAAGGTGGCACGCACAGCCGTACCGCAGAGCACAAAGCTGGGTTCAGCTTCTGCAGTCGGAGTCCTGCTGTGCAAATAAGCTGTATTTTCACGTACTGGCAAGAGGAACTGCATGATCATTTAAGCGCTGAAAGCCTCAAAAACATAAAAAATTAGTTCTGCGCAGCAGATACTTGCAGGCTTTCGCTTCGTAAATAACCTGCAAATGAGACTAATTAACGACAAGCACCTCCTACCACCTGCTATGCTACTTAAATATGCAACGGTTCCTTTTTTGCGGTTCTGCCCAAGGTAATCCTTTAGTTCTACTGCCGAGAGTCGGGTTTGGGTATTGTAAAGCCGTTAGGGCAGCGCAGGAGGCTGCAGCGATGGAGGCAGGGCCAGCCCTGAACGCGGGGGCGGCCAAGACGTCCTGGTCTGCTTTGCCGCAGCAGAGGCCGGCTGCAAGTGCTGCGGGGGGAGACGACGCGGGGTCTGGAGGTCGGCGCCAGCTGCGTGGGCGAGAGCTGGCTGCTTCCCCACCTGGGTGACTTCAGGGGGACCGCGCTGTCATCCCAGCCGGGCAGCTCCAGGCAGAACCCACGCTCCTCTCCTTCGATCCCTCCTAAGAAGGAATGAGGTGGGAAAGGCAGATGAAAGGCCTCTGCCGGTTGCATCCAGGCAGCCGTGGGCATGCCGTGACAAAAGAGCAACGATTTTAGACTCTCAGCAGAGTATCACTTGTGCTTTCATAAGATATTTGGGACACTGGAGAGGGCAGCAGCAAGGCTCAACTGGGGAGAGCTTTTAGGTGCCAGTAAATGCCTGACGTCCATCAGAAGAGAACCACTCTGGTCCTGGGGCCTTTCCCACTGACATAACTTGAGGAGAAAAGTTTCTTTAAATCTGAGTTTTCCTGCCTGGACAGAGCTCTACGATCTTAACGGCAACAAAAATATAAAAATGGGGGAGGTGACATATAATTAGAACCTGATACAGGTATGCGATTAGAGAGAACTGGGGATGTGATGTGGTCCCCACCTGCAGCTGGAAAGCCAGCACGGCAACAGCGACGCACTGGGTCTGGCGGACAGGAATTCTCCATCCTGAAGGCAAGGCTGCGAGTTTCCTTTGGGTGACGTCCCCTTTCCTGCTGCCGCGCGGTGCTCTGGCCGCTCCACCTACGGCAGCGCGAGTTTCAGCCACCGTGATTTCAGCTTTTTGTTAGTAGTTGCTGGGCGTGCTCGGGATTTCACCAGCCCCATTTCCTTGCAGAAGGTAAACACGCCGTAATTTTTCCTGTGATTGTTTTTCTTTGCAGAAAAAACTGGAGCTGGCTTCGAGCACTGTGAAACTGGAACCCGCCGTGAAGCAAACGCGGGATGCCATCAGCAGTCTCGCACGGTTCATGCAAGCCGCTGGTTCAAGGGGAGCGTTGACCATGGAGCTCGCAGCAAGAGACTTCTCCTACACCCTCGCAAGGATCTATACAGGTAGTGGGAAAAAGAAACGCGATGGATTTCAGGCCAGGAAAGGGCAAAGAACCAGGCCTAGAATGGCCCAGTTTCACACCTTCTGGGTGAAGGGTGGAGTTTTACGGAAAGCTGGGTCCCCACCTTCTTTCCAACGGAAGCAGCTCAGCCTGGCAAGTGCTGCTGAGAAGTAACCACCCCCCCACTTTCCACGAGCCCTTGCTGTTTTGCCTGGAGCTCAGAATACCGATGTCTCCTACTCTTCCGCAGGGGCTCTTTTAATTGAACACGCAGCTCGGCCTGACGCCTCCTCCACAGACATCTCTGCTGCTCGAAGGTAAGCAAAACCCTCTTCTAGCTCTAACTGGTTTAGATCATAGAATCGTCTAGGTTGGAAGGCACCTTGAAGATCATGAAGCCCAACCATCAACCCAACACTGCCAAGTCCACCACTAGACCATGTCCCTCAGCACCACGGCTGCCCGGCTTTTAAACACCTCCAGGGATGGCGATTCCACCACTGCCCTGGGCAGCCTGTGCCAGTGCTTCACAACCCTTTCTGGGAAGAAATTTTTCCCAATATCCATCCTAAACCTCCCCTGACACAACTTGAGGCTATTTCCTCTTGTCCTATCACTTGTTAACAATAAGAAGAGCCGGACCCCCCCTCGCTACCCCCTCCTTTCAGGGAGCTGTAGAGAGCAAGAAGCTCTCCCCTCAGCCTCCTCTTCTCCAGGCTGAACACCCCAAGGTCCCTCAGCCTTATCAGATGTGTGCTCCAGACCCCTCACCAGCTCCGTTGCCCTTCTCTGGACACGCTCCAGCCCTTCAATGTCTTTCTTGTCATAAGGGGCCCAAAACTGACTTCTTGTGCAGCGCAGGAGGTTTTGCTCTGCTTCTCCGAGCGATCTGACCCCCAGCCATGGCGAGACCCAAACTCTGTATCATCGTAGATGGAGACAAACAGCATTTCTGCATTGGCTGCTATCACCATCACGGCTTTTCCCTCCCTCGGGGAATCTCCCTTCAAGCGGCGATGAGGGGGATCCAAACTGGGCAGCCCTCAAGTTGAAATCTGTCTGGGTAACGGGGCTGGGACAAACCGTTTGCATTCTCTGTTCAGGTGGTGCAACCAGGAGCTGTGCCCTGTGGCCACGGAGCTGGACAACAGCAGCTACGAAGCTGAGGAAGCGCTCACGGACAGCGCGCTGGTGTACGAGGGCAGCCCTGCCTCTGGCAGCAGGCTCTGACCCGCCAGAATTGACTGGGAAGTCCAACCCCTCCCGGGGGAAACAGAAGGTGGGTTGCAATCCAAAAAAATTCCCAAATCCTCAGAGATCCACGAATTACAGGCGTGGTGGGGACATTCCACCAGGGGCCTGACCCAATCCTTCTGGAGTTACCCCCAGCTGCACCACCCGCTCCCGTCTGAGGTCCACTGCTTTTGCGCTGCAGCTACCGAGACTCAGTCTGAGCTGCTGAAATGTTCTTACTGTGTTTTAGGCAAAGACTGAGCGATCAAATGCAGAGAATGACTTGAAGCAGCAGCTCTTCAAGTGCCAACGGGTGTTCTTTTTAAAGAAAAGCAACTGAAATCAAACTGAAAATGATTGGAAGCTGATTAAATACAGAAAAACTACCAGTTTGCCCTGTTCACCTTCTTCCTTTCCGATGCTATGTGCGCTCTTCCACCCTGGCACATGCCACCAGGGCTGGGGTTTTTCTTCCAGGGCAGCCTCTCCCCCCACAGTGGCTGCGAGGACGGTACGTCCCTTCGTACAAACAACCTCCACGGGAAGTGTTGCGCTGGGCTCAGCACCCCGCAGCTCAGCGGCTGATCTCGGCAACTTGTTGGGTAAAACAAAGGCTTTGGAACCCAAAGTTTCCATTTTTTCTGGTCTCCCCTAGCCAAGGCTATCCTTAAGCGAGGTAGTCGGGGGGCACTGCGTAGTCTGGCTGGTGCTTTTGATGTTTCCTTCTATGTTCTACCTTGTCTCAAACAAACTTTGGTTTTATTTTAAATTAACCTGGAGTAGAGGCTTTACCTTCAACACGTATCGTTGGGCGCTTCGTCCCCGCTGAAGCTGCTAACTCAGCCCCACAGGCAGCCGAGACAGGCGAGAAAAACGTTCTCCACCTGCATTTTGAACTCGGGGTGCAGTAACGTCGTATCTGCGGCTCCATAAACAGTCAGCGGCAACAGCAACGCTGCTGTGCAGAGCTGTAACAGCTACGGGGAGGAGGCAATTTCAATTACGTCACTCAAATTACATCAAAACTCTACAAATTGGTACCAAAATTAAAGATAACGTTAATTTTCTTAATTTTTCTTAAGAAAAGAAAGGTTTTCTTATTCTCTGTGACCTCCTGGAAGCTCATTCATTCCCTGTACGTGTGCCCCAAAGATTCTGCAATTCATACTGACAAAAATTCTGACGTAAGTTTGAGATTGCGATCCAGTAATCCTCCACCAAAGCAAACACCTAAATATTGATTGTGTGCTCCTCTTCGCCCTCGGCCCATCAGTCTGCCTGCTTGCTATTACCCTGGTGACTTAAAGTTTTTAATTAAAAAGTTGTTAATAACAGAAGAAAAACAATAATACAACAAGGACAGCTGGAATATGTAACTGGGTTTAGCCAGACCCAGCACCCAAGGGTTTTCCGCTGCAGCACTTCTCCGTGTCCATTATATGCGCTTATAGGTGAATAAATAATATTTGGGTTTGAAACATCTCTTACATCACTGCAGTATTTTGGTGTTGAAGGTCTTACAGGTGCCAAAGCACAGTAACCTGTCGCGTTGTGCACAAATCAGGAGAATGAGAAAGTGAGAGAACAACGCGCGGCTCTAACCTAACCTAAACGACGACGGCGGCAGAGCCCACCGCCGGCTCTGCCCGTGGGAAGGGTCCGAGGGCACGGGCAGGCGACGGAGACAGCACCGAACCAAAGCCATCGCATTTACCCGCTGTTAGAATTGTTTGCAGAGCTGCTGATAAACCTTCGGGATCCTCCGTTCTCGCCAGGCGCCTGTCTCCAAAGCACGGGGCTTTGGCAAGCAGCGGTGGCTTCCGTGCTCACTGCCCGGCTGGGATCTCACAGCACCGCTTCCTACGTTATTTTACAGATTTTTCAACACTCAAATTACTTTTTCCTAATATATGAGCTGTAATTTGCCTAAAAATAAGCCCCGTAAACCGGGAGCCCTGCAAATGCACTGGTACACAAAACACAAGGGACTGTAAAATTGTCACCGTGTAGGAAAATGACAAATTTATTAAGGTCTAAATATTCACTCTGAGGCTACAGCAGAATAAATGCTGTTACAAACAAATAAGCACTAGGGTCTAACACTTTATACTGCTGCTAAACAGCTCTCTGCTCTCAAAAGTTCACATGTTTTAAAACATTTAAATGTTCTTGAAGTAATTAATCAAGAATCAGATGTCATTTTAATACAAATTCCACCAAAAAAAAAAAAAAGTACAATCAAATGCATCACCTGTTGCCACTGCAAGGTAAAAATCATTTCATAACGTAACTATGGGAAACCGGTTTAAAAAACATATTTGTTAAATAGTAAGATAAAACTTTAGCAGCATTTAAAAAATTTGAAAGTCCGAAGAATATGGTAACCTTAAATCCCGAAATGCCACAATCCCAGCTCCGATGCCGGTATTACACGGGTGAAACGGAGAGATGGGAATTTGTTATTCCCCTGCCCTGGAACCAGCACGTCTGCGTGGCGTGGGGACAGTCGGACAGACAGACGCTCCTACAGACGGGGCTGCATTAAAAGGTTACGCTTCTCCTTCTGCATCCTCGCTCTAATGCTGACGGATTCCCTCTTTTGACAAAAAAACTGAGCTGAATTGTTAAAAACGAAAACTCCCCGCTGCCTGCTCAGCGCTGCCCTGCCCGCAGCAGCTCTGGCTGGGACGGCACCGTGCTGCCCCGCAGAATCGCTGCTCTGTCCTTCAGAGGAAAAACCACCCGGAGCGAACGCAGCCACCGGCAGCGCAGATGGCAGCGCTGTGCGGGCGTCGCACCGGCAGAAACTGCATCGCTCGTGCTCCTCACTCCGCTCAAAAAGACCCAACGTTGCCGCTTTTGTTTTTTAATCAAGGAAGGTAATTCCATGGAACTTCTGAGCCGGTTCCCAGTGCTGCCGGCGATGGAATCCAGCCGAGGGCAGCTCTACGTAAAACCTGACCCGAGCAAAGGTCAGAGCGCCTTCGCTCAGCGCCGTCTGAGCTTCTCCTGCCAGCACAGCCCAGCAAAACACCGTCTTCTGACTAACCCTGGACACAGTTTTCCCAAAACCTCAGGCTGAGCATTTCAGGATCTATTAGGGGGACAGTTATGGAACAACCATCAAATCCCTGCACGCCCCCATCCGCTCAATGCGCTCCGAATCCACTCAGCTTTCCTGCCCGGGGCTCTCCTTGCCCTTTGCGGCCTCAAAACCTCTCCCAGCGTGGGCTGCGTCCCGCACCGCCAGCCCTTCCCGGGCAGCAGAGTGGATCCTGACACCTCCTCCCCCTTCGCCACCAAAGAGCCTTCGGTTTCCCATCCTACACGCTGCCGCCACGGGACCTCACCCGTACGATCACGCTGTGATCGACTCCCTGCTGCTGAGCGACTCCTGTGCCACCTCCACCGGCACGGAGAGGCTGCGCTTGCTGCCGTCCCGCCCGGGGACGAGAGGGGCCTTCAGTTCTCAAAGACTGTCTCGTTCCTCGGCCGCTAATACGATGTGCGAGACTCCCGAGAAGCCGTACAAATCGCCTTTGCCTAAGGAGATTGTTTTACAGCGCGTACGACAGCACTAAAGCTGCAGAACGCGAGAGCAGCTCTGCTCTCCTTTCGGGCTCCCGTGCTGTTTGAGAGCTGTAACAAGAGAAAAGGCCGTTCGTTAAGAAGAATTGATCACCGGGAAATGAGCTTCTACACAATGTCAGCTGTGTGCTCCTCCAGCAGAGCTGCCCCCGACGGGACACACAGTAACGGCGTCACAGCAGGCGGGAGTTAAAAATGTCTCCGACTCCCTCCGACAACAGCAGAGGAGACCGGTGGGGTTTTGCTTCTCATTCCCGAAGCAGAGAACGTCCAAGCAGTGCGGTGCGTGGGGTGGGGAGTCCCGGCACACACGGAACGCCTACAGCCGCCGCGCTGCGGAGTAATGAGTTACTGAAAAACCACTTAGAAGTAGCTCAAGTATGAAAGGAGCTATATAAAATCAAATTCTGGTGTATAATTGAAAACCCGCTGTTCCTTCGCACGTTCTTAATAGTGCAAAACATTATATATGCTTTTCTTTTTTATTCATGAAGCTGTAAATACCACCCCCAGCTGCGATCACAGCTCTGCGCCGAATCTGCAGTTTTATTTGATTAAATAAATACCGTGAGATTGTAAAGCAATTGTGCACAACATCTTGTGATTAGAACGTCCCAAAATAACTCACAGTTGCTCAAGGAGCTCTTCAGTCCTCCCCGAGAATTTGGGGCAAATCCTCTCCCTCAACTTCAAATACGTAAGAAAAGAAAGAACTGTGGGAGTAGGAGCCTACGTGAGGGGAGCGCGTGCAGCCGAGCGGCTGAACGAGCAAGCGGTCCGAGGAAAATGAGAATAATCAGACCTTTGTGCGGGAGGACTTTTGCAGGACAAAGAGCAGTTGAGTTTTCCACCTTCTGGGAAAAAAGAGATTAAACCTGAGTGAGTTTGGTTTGTTCCCAAAGAGCCGCGGCTCCGCCATCCAGCATTGAGAATAAGGCAGAAAGTGTGCAAACGAGAACCCAGCTCTGACCTCCCCACCGCGCTGCCACCGCGGCGAGAGCCGGCGCTCGCTCCCTGCGGGGGAAGGGAGACGTCGAGCTTCCTTTTTTTTTTTTTTTTTTCCTTTTTTTTCCCCCCAAACATCACCAAAAGCGAGTTCCCAGGCGACCTGGACTGCTCCTACATTCAGGCTCACGTCACGGGATCAACACTTTGAAATATGATGGTCGGTTAAGGGGAAAAAAGCAAAACGAGGTACCGAGGAAGACGAGACTCTTGCAGAGGTCTCCGGCCTCGGGAAACGCTGCCGGTGGGACTGTCGGGACCCGGCGCCGCACGCCGTTTGTGTCTTTTTCCCCCTCCCTGGGACCCTCGCAGTAGGAAAACCAAGCTGAATATTTTTTTTTTCTTCTAAGTTTAGGAGCAACAGTTTGTTGTTCCTCACAAAGACACACAGTGGAAAAGAAAGC